AATTTATATTTTAAGATTTCAGCCCAGACTGGTCTGGCCCTAAGAATGAGAGCAGATTAATTTTTCAGTTTCAGACAGGTCTTAAGAATAGCTATGGTTTTCCAGTTTAGACCAGATGGTCTAACATCACTACTTATTGAATACAGCGTGGTCAAAATTAGAGTCAGTGATTGGTATGGATGTTAAATCGCAGGTCCGGTTCGGTCAGATTCTAGGATGGTCATAGGCAGAAGTTTGTCTGATTGACTGACGTAAAAATCCCATATATTTTACTAGTATGCTTACTTCTATCGGACTGTACAAAATAACCATAATTTGACTGTACAGCCAACTATTTAAAAAAGGCACTCTGGAATGATTTTGTCAAAGATTATTTTATCAGTCGCATTCACGTTCAAACAATAGTCTAGTTTTGAAACTCGTAATACCATAGTACTTTCAACTTTATAATAAACTCCTTATGCAAAAAATTTCTTTTGAATTCTAACATCACAAAACAATACTTCTAATAATGTAATTCTTTTTTAGAGCTTAAAGATTCAGGTTAGTTTTCTGCAGATATAAACTTGTTAGTAATAATAATCCAGGTTTAATACTTTAATTTGTCGGGTTTTTATATTGTATCCGAGTCTAATCATAAATAAAGGTTTAATACATTATGGATTCGAGTTTAGCAAGCTATATTCACCTGTTTTCTAGATTCACATAGATTTAAAATTGCGTCAAATCATTATCTTTACCGTCATGCGATGTGTATAATAAGTGGAATAATAAATTAAATCATAAAAACAATTTATTGTGTATTTCATGCCGAGTTAAACTATAGAAATATTCATTCACTATGCGCAAACTTTTCATGCAAAGAGATCAAAATTTTGGCATCGAATAAGAAAAGCACTAATTAATCAAAAAGTATAAAAATTTGAGTTCATTTTTTTTATCCTATTAATATAACACCGTGTATTTACTAGTTATCGATTAAATACTTGATATTAGATAATATTTTAACAGTCAAAGAAGCAACGCTAAAATAGAAGGTTAGCATGCTTGTAATATTAACAAATATCGTAAAATTCGTCGTTGGGGTGGACGGAAATGTGCATATGTATGTATACCGACTCTAGAAATTCCCAGATATTACGAACCGTGAAGTTTTAAGTTTATATTGTTTCTTTAAACATACGTGGTAGAAACAAGCAATTTGCACAGCAAACACTTGGTTCTTATTCTGGTAGTTTAGTAACTCAAAAGAAACCTGAACATTTAATTGTAGATTTATTTAAAGCAAAATTTTAAGTTATATTTCACATGCAATATGTATGTACTGTGGTTTTGGTTCATATATTAAAAAAATTTAGTTATAGCTTGATGTTATTTTATAGAATTCTATAGTCACTTTAAAAATTTAAAGGGCAAAGCCAGTTTTTTAGAAAATATGTTTATTCTGGTTGAAAAATGTTGTTTAGATATGTTGTGTAGTAATTTGTTCTTGGTGCTTATTATACTTTATATGTTAACAAGAAATCAGATTAATAAAAGATATCTAGATTATTTATTATGAATAAAATTATTGTCGCAGCTGATGCTGAAATTCGGATCTATTTTGATATGAATTTTTTAAAAATTTTTGGGGTGTTTTTTCCCCGCTTTTTTTTTATAGTTGAGTTAGTGTTTAGGGTTAGAATTGATAATTAACAAGTATATGTGGATTTTAGCAGGGCTTATATTTTAAAATCGAGACCCCAAATTTCAGCTTCAGCCGTTTTCAGCATCAGCTGCGACAATAATTAAATAAACAAATAAAATATGGTAGTCCTAGAATGGTAAGCAGATGTTATCTTTACATAGTAATCCTATATCGCAGTCTAAATCAGAGTTGCAACGGTCACCTACTAAACAGGGCACACAGGAAGAGCAGATGTTATTTTTACATAGTAATCCTATATTGCAGTCTACATCAGAGTTGCAAGGGCCACCTGCAAAACAGGTCGGCGCACAGGGAGAAATACAACGTCCTTTACTACAAGTTAATCCTCTATCGCAATCACTATTATTATTACAACGTAGCGGTAGTATGCAGATGTTATCTTCACATGTAAATCTTATATCACAGTCTACATCAGAACTGCAAGGTTCACCCGCTAAACAGTCTGGCGCACAGAGAGAAATACAACTTCCTTTTCTACAAGTTAATCCTTTATCGCAATCACTTTCAATATTACAAATTGAGCCTTCTGGGACAGGAGAAGCAGAAAAAGGTACAGCTATTTAATGAATACAAGTTAACAATTAGACAAGATCACAATTTAAAACCTCGTGATAATTTGATTAGAAATTATTTATAACAATTAGACAAGATCACAATTTAAAACCTCGTGATAATTTGATTAGAAATTATTTACCTTCCACAAAAGTCACCAAGGCACTTGC